CACCAGTGGGCTCTAGCGACCAAATTGTCTGTGGAACTGGAGTTAGTGATTTTGGCTGAAAAGTATTAATTGAGCCTGGCTTAGATACATGAATGGCAATAGCAGAGAAGGGCTTCCATGTAGCTGCTTGAGACAGAGCACCAGAAATCCCAGGAAAGACAGGGAGAAATGGCCTGTGTGAAAGTTAATGTTCTCCATGCTCATAAAACTCAGCACAGGCTTAGGGGCATTCCGTGGCTTTGGTTTGAGTCACCCAAGTCTCATGGTCTGGATGAGATTAATGATAATGACAATTCAGGCATGTCTAGTACATTTTGCCTTTTTTAAGAGCTATTATTAAACAATTTTGTCTTTCAGCTGTAGCAAATCATGTGGATGTCAGGGAAAGATCATGGCCTGTCAGCCCCCAAGCCTGCCAGCTATATATAAGAGCAGGCAGAAGGGAAGGTCTGGGTGCTGTTTGTGATCCCACTGTGAGTCCACTCTGAATCAGCTCCTTTGAAACTTTAAAAGGGTTGAAGGGATGAATAATAGTTTGGCACACAGTATGAGTTTTGCATTGCCTTGTCTCTTGAAACAGAGAAAAAATCCTTTTTTAATCTTTTGCATAACTGTGTTAAAGCCAGCTGAGTAACATCAACATAAAATTAATGGATTTGACCTTCCTGCACTATGGTAAAAGGTGGAATATGTGTTTAGATTTGAATTTGGCAATCATGTTTCTTCCTTAACTCAAAATTAGTCTATAAGCCTCAGCATGGAAAAAAGAATTTAAGGTGTTAATTTAGTTTAGACCCTGTCATTTATTTTTCGTAAGTTTTGTTTTGATATGACTAGAAATATTTTTGTTAATTCAATTAAGGGTCCCCATTGTCTGGACGTTAAAATATAAGACCATAAAATAAAAACTCTGGGATCCCTGACAGCTCTGGGCAGTATGTTCTGCATCTGTATTTTGCCATTTTTAAAATGTGTTAATTATTGTCTTCATAGAGGAGATGCTGGGTTTATGCAATTTGCTTAGACTGTGAAATGCCATGTGAGTTTTAGGTACTGCTGTAGTCCTTTTTCCATACTCACTGCTTCACGAACGGAGTGTCTATACTACAGCAATGTTACAAACATTTTTATTAGTAAGTGTAGAAGATATCATCAAAATAAAAACAAAGCACGCTGTCTCAACATTATTTTAGGGCAAAGTGCCAACTAATCGGACGGCCTCAAAACCAGTTTTGAGAATTGGATTGCCACATTTTTGCCCGGGGTTTCCTGGACACCCACGTGATCTCCCACGCTGCATGAGTCAGGCTTCCTGGGAGCTTTGGCCCTTCTGTGTGTGCGTGCAGTGCAGCTGGTCAGCACATGTGCAGTAAGCCTGATACTTCCCAGAAGTGTCCTGATGTACAGTATGTTCGCTGTAGAGCCAGGCTGAGCATTTCCATGGAAAATGTACATGTGCGTAACTGTAGCCCACAAGTAGTTCCATTAAGGCTATTTGTGTAAATAAGCCTATTTATTTTCATCAGCTGGATTTTAAGGAATTGGCTGTCTAATAAGTGGGATTCTGACTACGACTGGATCTCTAGGTGGTATTGGAGCATATATTGTAGTGTTTTAAAACCATGAATGGGCTGAGGTTTGATGACAGCTGAATCAAATTCACTCTAAACAAAGTGAACTTCACTTAATATTTCAGTGAATGTGGGATAAGCTGCGAGATTCAAATGCACCCCAAAGCAAGTGGATGTGGTATCTGCTTTCATAGCAAAAGTTCTTCAGAAATTAGCCTAAAGTTATTGGAAGAGATGATGTTCCAAACAAATAGAGTTCCAAAATCACTGAGTTTGTTACTTTTAAGTAATTAAATAGATCTTTCTGATCTGATCCCCAAGTTTAATATTAAGTCTTGGGCTTCACAGAGTATGTTTAATTATTAACAAATTTAGGCCTGCCTTGTTCTACAGCAAAGAGGGAATCAAGAAGGGAAAACTAAAGAGACACCTTTTTCCTCTTTAGGTCATTTATGTTTAATACAGCTAACTGATTGGACAAGTTCCAAAATAATGTCAGGCTTTGAATATGGAACATTTGGAACCAAAGTAGAGGTCACTCACATGGCAGCTGTGAGAGCAGCTAGTCATGGTAGATAGCAGTAGTCGTGGGCCACATCCTTCTGTGCAGAGAAGCTATTCGTTGTGATGTCGTAAGAAAACATCTATTGGGATCTGCAACCTGAATGTCTGTTGGCTACATTTGTGACTTGTAGGTACACGTGGCAATGGCTTTTGAGCATGCAGTGCTGTTCAATGAAGGGTGTGGCCACAGAAGGTCTCTAGTCCATCAGCTATCCCCAGGACCAGTGCAGTGCATGTCCACATCTGGCACTTGTGGAAGCACTGCGACTGTTTCAGAATCATGTGTGGGAACTTGCTGAGACTGTCATTCTGTGTTAATCCACTAGCTTCTCCTCAGACTGTGAAACTCAGCCCTGTTGCAAGACATTAAGTGCTCCAAGAAAGAAAAATGCGTTTGTTAGTGTCCTCTTTCACATGGGTTACTCATTCCTGCCTTCAAAACCTCTCATGACATGGCTGTCATCAGAGAAAATTTAATAGAACTATTTTTCCCTGGAAGAAAATAGCTGTGTCAGAATAAAGGCATTTTAAGAAAACATGTTAGTTTTGCATAAAGTTTACAAAACTAAAAATTATGTCCTCTTGGTATTTTTTTATAACATATGATAATAAAGCTGTTAAGAACTATTATTCATCAAGCCAGTTAAACAGATATACAATGTATATCAATTTTGTCTACATTAAATGTTTTTGTCAGGGAGGGCAGGTGGAAGAAGAGATTTTTTTTACATTCTTTTTTTGGAAAGGCAATCTAAGTAACCATAATGATTAATTCTGTTGCCTATGGTAAAAGTATTTAAGATTGGATGCACAGCTTTTGAGCTCCTTTGGACAAGCAGTCATCAATACTATTGGACTCCTACCGATGCTGTGAATAATGGTTGTCTTCTCATACACCATACAGTCTGGATCTAATCTGGTATTTTATCTCCTTGATTGTTTCCTGTTACCTGTGGAAAGGAACATTCCTTGCAGTTTACACTGAGTAGATACACTGTAGATAGAATAACCTCATTTTACCAATGAACAAAAGCAATTGAAGGAAGAGTGCACACCTTGATTACTATCATTTGCTTTCACATCTATGCTATAGAAGAAAATAGACCATCAAGCAAAAATTACATTAGGAAAGTTGCTTGTTATTCACATAGAAACGTGCATGAATTGCGTTTTGGGTCTTTTAGGAAAACAGTTATTATATGGCATCTTTTATTTCAAATAGATGGTACAGACAACCCTTTTTAATATTTGGAGAAGACTTTCATGCACCTTTCATGCACGTGGAACTCCCATTAAAATTAAGATAAAAATGAGTCATGCTCCTCTCTTCACGGGGAATAATAGGCTACTCCAATTAAGTGTGCTTTGCAGTTGTCATTCTAGTCTGGAGTTGCAACCACTTTTTTGGCTTGAGGGAAAGGTGGAGCAGGAGCAAAGTTAATTCGCATTACTTTGAAGCATCTTGATCTTTCCCTGTTTTCTCCACACACATGATTATTCTTATTCGTAGTATTATTAATTTTACTATTAACTCTTTCTTAGCGGTTCCTGTTAAAAAAAGATGATAAACAAATGTTTATTTTTCCTCTCATTTTACTCAGTCACAGTCTTTCCTTGGATTATACCTTTTTCCCGCTGTACTTGTTGCATTATGTAGGCAGTATCTTTCCAACATCCAAAGATGAGTGGAGTGTGATCTCCTCAAAGCCTCTAGCCCTTATGCCTTCTGTTCAGTGTCTGTAGTGAATTGTATGAGGCATTCCCCTTCCGTAGGATTTGCAATGTACTGCTTGTTCAGGGTTCCCAGGCTGAAGGCCAGAAAACAAATTGCACAACGTAAATATGGCACCTAAATTTTTTTTTATTTTAGTCATTATTTTTATCATACTGCTTGCCATTGAAAATTACTTCCATGTGAAAACCTTTGCAGTATTATTAAATTAAAATCCATCTAAGACATCTTTTAACATTAAAGTACATATTGAAGTACATATGCAGTATATATTGAAACTCTGACGCGGGTTGGCTGTAAGATGTTTGTGTGTGAGCGTGAGCTCAGCGGGAGGAAGCCTTTCAAAATGGAGGGAAATACCATCAAGATGAATGAACAGGGAGCAAGAAGTTCATTCGTGTGAATTCTTATCTAATGTGTATTTGACACTTCTCTATCTGCCCCAGCAGGCTGAATAAGAAGAGCTTAAAGATTATCTTTCAGGGAGTATTTAACAGCATAATGTTGTTCTAGTTCAGAATATCTGTGCAGCTCACTTATTTTTTGTCTCAGATGTATCATGCAACATCAAACCAATGCAAGCTTTCTGCTTTTGTCTAGCTAATAATAGGAACACATTGTTTGAACTAGTTCTGAAACTGGGGATTGATGTATATATTCATTTAAACGGATTCACTGTGAAAGGATCACAATGAGATAATTAAGGAACCTTGTGATCATACAGGCTCTGATTATACACCATTTCACCTTTAAAAAATTCTGTTATGAATGAAATATTTTGTTTTCAAATACATTTGAATATGCAGTTAGTTTTGCAGTAATGTGGCTTCCAAGACTTTCACAATGTATTTACATCTTCTACACATTATCGTAAAAGTGCTAGATACCTCACAAAACCATGTTGTATTGCTTTTTTCTGGAAAGGCTGAAGATTTGGCTTTTGTCTCAGCCCAAAGAAGGGAAGTATGAAGAAGGTGATTGAAAGTGCTAGCTCTCTTTCTGAATGAATCGGTAGCTGCTACTTGTTGCTGGTTTACATTGAAAGCACTATACTTGAAATCATTTCCAGGTCTCCAGTGAAGCATTAAGTCCAACAGTTTGTAATTCCTTTTTTTCTTTTCTTTCGATAACAGAATTCAATGTAAGTTGCAGATATGGAGGAGTTTTTCATGTTGAGAAAAACGGTCGCTACAGTCTCACACGATCTGAAGCAGTTGAACTCTGCAGAGCTCTCAATAGTACCTTGTCAACACTAGAGCAGTTGAAGAAAGCACATGAACTTGGATTTGAAACTTGCAGGTAAAGAAATTCTTGAAAAAAAAATACATCATGACAAGTCCATCCATCCATGCTGTAATGTAATAAGTACAGTTGACTTCATATAGCTGTTAATTAGATGGCCGTATCAGTCCTCAAGTAAGTTATATTCTGTGATGAACAAAACATCTTTGTGCATGTGAATGTTTGTTCTGGGTACGGTAATAAATAAGTCCTTGAGAGCATATATTTTTTACCAATTATCTTTAAAAAATCATAACCTCTTACAGATAAAATCTAAAGATAACAAAAGATTGACAGTATAATAAACTAATTAGGAAGATGTTCAGATCATACTGTATCACTGACTAATTCGTAAGATAAGTATGCGAAAAGTATTTATCATTGTTAATGACCTGATGTAAGGTCAAAGACTGGAGGTGGTATATACAGTATAGGGAACTCTGTCTTGTCAAGAAACAGTAAAGAGCAGCAAGTGGTACTGTGAGGGAAGAACTCCTGACATCCCAGTGAAAAAATGGCCACAGTATTAGTGCATTCTTATAATCTGTGAATGGAGAAGTTTCAGAAGACAGCCATAAAAATTATTTAAAAACCCAAAACCACATTGTCAAGTGACTTAATTACCCTCTGTAATTAATGATGTATAGGGCAACAAATGGAGATAATACAGACTCTTCAGTTTAGCAAAAAATAACTAGACCAAGAGACTGGAAGTTACTCGCAAAATTTTGGATTCAAAAAATTAAGTGAGTAGTAATACAACAAAATATGTAAAGATAATAATTATTGGCTGAAACAGCTTACAAGGGCTGTAGTAGATTCTTTGTCACACCAAAATTTCATCAAGATGAAATATTTTCCCCAAAGTTGCCCTCTGTTCAAACAGTAATCAAGTCGGGACAGTCCAATGGTCTTAATACGTCAGACTAGATGATCATGTGATCTTACTTTACCAAATACATAATACACATATTATGCAAGTCATCCTAAATGTTCATATGCAGAAAAGAGATTGAACTCGGGAGCTGTAAATTTGAAGTTTGGTGTGGTTTTTTTTTAATCAGATAACATAGATTCATGTTTGTAAACCATTATAGAGTTGAAATAAATTTCAGTAGATTTTCAACTTTATTACAATCTAAAATGGACAGCAAATATGGAGAAATGGAATTTATCTTCTAGCTGACTGAAGTAGAAAAGTTCAGTGGACATTTCTCCAAAATTTTAAGACTTTCATTCTGGTACCATGAGAAATAGTACTAGCATCAATACTGCTTGCAGCTATTTCCTGTGAATTATTTCCTTTCAGTTTAGTCAGTGGTGCTTTACTTTTTTAATGCGTGATGTGTGAATGTTCTTTCCCACTGGCTTGCAAGCCCATGAGAATTGAATAAAGCTCCTTTCAAATTAATAGTATCCGTATGAAGTAATTTGTAATCATGGAAAGATGAGTGTGCACATTCTTATACATATAAATGTCATGCACTGCCATTGACGACAGCATATGGCACGTTCACTTTCACAAGCGTTATGCCCTGCACAGTGGTGAAAAAGGTGGACAATAGTGCCAGGGAACAACAGCCAGAAAATTCTTAGAAGATTCTTCCATGAGAAGTGGGAATGTCATTTAAAATAGTACCACATAAAGACTAGAGACAATTCTTTACTCTGAGGGAAAAGTCCTGTATAGCGTAGTAGGCATGTTCTTTCTCTAACATTAGCATATGAACATATTTAGCATTCTGAATTGTCTAGCACTACACAATACGTAGAGACTAAGGATCAAATCTAACTAAATGTCTAAGGGTAGAGATTTCTAGTGCTGGCAATTATGAGTATTCTGCAATGCGGAAAGTCTTTTCTGAAGTTAAAATATATAAATAAATGAAAGAAGGAGTAGAGGGAAATGTTTTTTGCAGTGGGGAGGTTAGTTTTTCACTAGTGTTACAATTCTCCCTAATTCACAGTTTAGCAGAGGACATGTAAGAGATTTGGACATGTAAGGCATGTAGATAGGATTCCTTCCTCCCTTCCTTCTGGCCAGCCCTTCCACCCTCTTACTTTCATTTGTTGATCCTCTGCTAGAAGTCCTTGTCAGTAAGGCCAGGCTCTTATCAAGCTTGAGTAGGAGAGAAAAAATATGCTGCATATAATCATCAAAATACATGTGGAATGGTGAGTGAATAAGATGAATCAACACAAGTAAGTGATTAATGGATTATAAAGTGTCAACATTGTAGGCTCAGTTGGAAGTATGAGTAAAGTAGTTTATAATTCCACGTACAAGACAGTTTCAGAATTGCGAGTATCTGCACATTAGACATGTAACTGGAATGGGGCTCACACAAAAAACTGCAAGGCTATGAAATTTACTCATCCATGATAAATTGTACCTCTCAAGCAGTAAAACAAAATCCAAACCAAACCCCAGTTCTCATTGCCTTTTTATCACACCTCCCAGCTAAATACATTGGAATTAATCAGGTGTCACAGGATTGCAAAATGGTAATAACACATTGTGCATTATGTAGCTGTGTTAAGCACAGTCTTCACTGAAATATGTGAGGTCTGTATACAATAGCCACATTGTTTGACTGAAAGATACAGTAAGAATTTGTGGATGAATTAGTGTTGTACCTGAATGTTTTACTAAGCTGTCAGCTTTTGCAGAAAGTGATGAGTCTTATAATCATTCTCTAAGTTTGCTGAGGTACTATAAATCAAGCCCCAACATTTCTGTGTGAAATGTCACTGAGCAGTATGTTATGCTAAAAGCAATGAAAAGGTGAGTCCCTGAAGAAAAAAGAAGCCAGTCTTTAGTGTCAGGTAATACAACCTGAATAAAAAGTGCACTTGCCTCCCAGTCCCTCACTTTCACTGCCTTGCTCTGAACCTATCGTCCTAGCTATTAAGATGCTCACTTAATTAAAATGGGTTTAGCTCTAGAAATTACGTGCAAAATGGTGTTGAGTGGCTGGAGACTGATGTAACTACATGCGAGAAAGGAACACCCTTCATATACAAAAAGTGTGCATAAATGCATGCAGTTTTTAAAAATAATGTAAGATTAAAATAATGGCTTCTTCGTAGCTTCTTCATGTTTGAGATATCTAGAACATTTATGCCATCTGCTACAATATGCTGTGTAATATGGTGTATTTTCCTCTGTTCTTTGCAGGTATGGCTTTGTAGTGGGGAATATTGTTATCCCACGAATCAATCCATATCATCTTTGTGCAGCAAATCATACTGGCATTTACAAACTTTCAGCAAACACAACTGGTCGGTATGATGCATACTGTTACAATGTGACAGGTATGTATATGCTTTTATGATGCATTTTAGATATAGGTTAACTAACAATAACATGTAATCTCCTATTTAAGGTACTGGAATGAGGGCTTCTATATTAAATATCATCTGTTTTTCAGCTGAGAAGAAATACATTTTGTCAGCCTCTAGAAGCATATCTACAATGCCAGCAATGAATTTGACCCATTTTGTCATTAGTGTGGTTTGAACTAAACCATTTTCTGCCTTTGGGACTAACTTAGTAGCTTCAGAACACTTCATTATAATGGCTTAGTGCAGTGAACTACTGCAGCAGTGAATCTAAAAGGCATAACTGTTGTAGGCGATGGTGCCCAGCTCTTCTGTTCATGCACACATGAGCTTCTATAGCGAATAACAGCTATTTGTGTTAAGGGATGCTAGGAGTGGCTGCCACCTGCAGCAGCTCCAAGGCCCGGGGTGGCCATCCGAGGCCCATGGACGTGGCTGCTGCTCTCCTGTTGGCAGGTTCATCCAGTATTTGCTCTCAGGCAAATCTCCATTCAGACATTAGGCAGTTAAGATAGCGATGCGGGTCAGAAGCAGACCGCTTTCTTCTAAGGTTTTGAACTTTCTAATAGTAGGAAATATTTTACTAAATTACTAGGAAAATGTAGATAATCTTGTGACAGATGCTGAACACAGTATTTGAAGATAAAATCTGGACTAACTTCAAGTGTCTTGAATTTCAGTAGATTATTACATTCACAGTGGAAACAGATCTCACAGAAAGCTATAGGCAAAATTCATCGATGATTTGAATGGCAGTGACATTTTTTGATTTTGTTCTTGGTGGTCATATCATTAAAAATCATCTTTGCATTGGCATAATATCAGGTGAGCTGCCATCCTCTGTCACCCACAGATGACCCTTCTCCTGCTACAGTGATGTCCATCCCCACCAGCGCTTTATAATTGCTCCCACGTCTTATTCCCTTCCGGCACTATGAGCAGGTGGCTCACACACTGGCCCCGAGCATGGCACTGCACCGCTGGAGCAAGCAGTGCTCACCAGACCAGGGCACACTCTGCCTGTGCAGAGCCCTCCATGGGGGGGCTGGGGTCCCTCTGGCTAAAAAGGATTAGAGCTGCCACTGCCGCCACAAGGATGGGGCTGTCTGCATTGACACTGGGTCATAAGGCTATTTTAACTGACATCGATTGCAACCATTTTCTGGTATGGTTATGAAAATGGAGAATCTCGTCGTTAGCTGACAGAACAATCTTGAAGTGCTCCACCTGGGAAGGAGCAAAAAGGGAATGTAGCTAGATCAGTAAATGATGTTTGATTTGGAAATTTGTTTTCAATTGTCCACATATGAAGCTGACGTTTTGTGATTATGTACTATTAATATGGGTATACACATGACTTTTTTCTCAGTTTTCTCAAATTAATATTTGCTATTTTCCTTCTTTTACAGAAACACGGGACAAAGCATGTGAGCCGATTGAAAGGCTAGATACTTCTTTCCTCAATAATCAGGGTGAAATAGGTACTGTATTGATTAGAAAGACCTGCCACTTGTTTAATTTTTAGGATCTGGTTATCTTTTTTTACATAAACACTTGCCAATATTAAAAATCAAACCAAACATAAGAAAAAGAAGTCAAGAGATGTTCAACAGCAATTAAAGCAATTAGTCATTTTTCTTCCCCTAAATGCTATGGAGCTTGGTTTGTCTCAAGGTGCTACCAAACATTTTTTATATAGGTGTTTGACATTTTTTAGCACCTCGGAGCTGCTAATGTTTCTTTGACATATAGGACTTTGCTTAAGACAGCAACCTTTCTACATCTCATTTGAGCTGCTGGTTAGAAAAGCAGCTGGAAGTGGAAGAAAACTTTCATAATAAATTATTTGTCCCAATTCTAAAATTCTGATTGACTTTACAGAGGCCAAGATTTTATGTTCAAGATCAAAATTTCTGATCAAAATATCAAAATATTTGATGCAGACCAGGCCCTATATGTTTGACAAATATATACACTCGCATATATACATTAGACATAGTTTAGTGATGTATGGTCTAGACAGATTAGATAGGATGGCAAAAATGGATGAACTGATATTAATCCACAACTGTTTCTCTTCATTTTTTTATTATAGAACTTAAAACTTTTTAGCATTACTGAAATATAGCTATGCAGCTCCTTGATATTATCAGCTGCTTAATTTCCTCTTTCCAACAGTCATTGACAATGCAGATGGCTCACGTTACAATGCAGATGGCACACGTCATAGCGGAGAGTCCTCAACCTCAGGTGCAGATGATGAAAATGTAGGTAGTGGATCAACACATGACACAACTCCCATGGATACCTCCATCAGGAGATCCAGCCCCTCATATTATGGAAGTGCTACTCCGGTCTCACAGCTGCCAGATCATTCTTCTGGAGGGGGTGAAAAAGAAATTCCTAGAAAAGATTCTGGTAAGGACAGTAGGTTGCCATTATATCCCCTTTAAAATAACTTAGTGAAGGATTACATTGCTAGTTAAAGGATATCATGAAGGAATGAGAAGCACTGTCTCTAATTTGTATCCTGGAAAAGTAAAAGGAGAATGTGTGTCTTTGAAAGAAAACAGAAGCACTCCGAATTTCTAAGGATTTTTTTGATTGCACGGGAGAACAATGCAGCCACACATCAGCATATTTTTCCCAAAAAACCTTCCCAGGATGTTGAGAATAGATGGTTCTAAGAATTTGCTCTTGTTCTTATTAAAATATTTATTTCATTAAAGGCTCAAAAACGTTATCCAGCAGTGAACACAGAGAGATTAGTGAGGCTGAGGGTATGGGTATATAGAGATAAGGATAATATTCTTATCTGTTCTTTAAAAGGATGAATTGACATTAAGTAATAAGAACAAGGAGGAGTTTACAGTACAAGTGATTTCTCTTTGTACAAATACAGGGGGTTTTTTAGGACATCTTCTTACTACAGCATATTACAGAATACACAGAGAGATAAAATGTCAAATTAAAATGTTATTAGTATCTTCTTCCTTTAGGTGGTAAAGCCAAATTCTATGTTCATGAAGCCCTATCAAATACAAATGCTATACTCTTTTCTAGGGCATTCTGCAGGGTGGAAAATTAGTGAATTATAGTACCTTGCCTGTATCTTGCTTTCTTGTGAAAGTGGCATGTATTTTATTTAATCTTTTATGTTGCTTGTGTGGCTGAAATTATTAGAGGTCTGAAAGACTAGCTCCCATTGAACCTAAGAGATACGAATATAATTAATCCTGTAAACACAATAAAGTTTACTATGTGACCTCTGACTACAGGTTTTTTATCAAATCACCAATAACTTACCAGTGAAGGATACCACTAGTTTGCATCATTACCCTCAATAAATACTGAAATTAAAAAAAAAAAAGTTGAGCAGAAGAATTAGGATTATAAAATGACTTTTCACTGGTGGTATACTCATGACATGTTATGCTTGTTTTTCCATGTAATTAAGCATCATGAATGGTAAATCCTAACATTCTCTTCCTAAGGAACTAGGATCAGAGCCATTCCCCAACGTATAAGCCATGTATTTCAATTGCTTGCCATGAGAACTCTTATCAACTCTGCTTACATGCCGAATTTAGATTTTTGGACTAAATCTCAGAATATATCTCAGTAAAGAGGGGACTATAAATAACCTCACTCATTGCTCTAGAATTCCTGTCCAGATGATATACAGGTACAATTAGAGCTTGAATCACATGAACAGATCATTGCCACAGTGTTCATTATCACTGTAATACATACTCCTCTTGAAATAATCTGTTTTGGTGATAACCTTACTATGTTAGTAAAGTAAGGCTGTTTGGGGTTGAATTTTATGAAGAACCTAGTCTGTGTCTTTCTTCTCTCTTGGACCAATAAATGAAGGAATGAAGCTTGCAGTATAGAATAATTGAAGTAGTTGTGAGTACTATGTTGCAACTCAGCAAATGAAATGGTAATGATTCATCCATCACCATACAGATAATGAAGTTTCTCCTGTATCACCTGACATCTCTTTGGTGACGGCAGCTGATGATTCCCCTGAAAAAGATGGTGGACAGTATCCTGCGAGTACTAGTAAGATTTATGTATTATGATAACTACATCAAATATAGATTGCATTAAAACTGCTTTCTTCTTCCAGCAGGGCATTCTGGTAAGTGGTGAAGTATACATCATCTCCGATTTTGGAAAGACATTGAAAGACAGTACTTTCCAGACTGGTTAAGTCAGAAATAAACGTCACTCCCTGGGACAAGGGGACCAAAAACATTTACTGTATGTTTACTTCAATGCTTATACATGAGTTCAGAAAGATTGTTGTTTTGTGTTTCCCACTGCTTTTTTATCACACCTATTTACTCTATGAGGCGCCGCAAATTAGTGCAACCAATTATCACTTGAAGTCAATTTATTTCCGAGGTAGAAAAGGACACTTTTGTCAATTTGTGATGAAAGTCTCTGTGATTCTAATATATTTATGGTTGTGGGTAATCCATGTCAAAACCATGGCCTTGCTCACCAAAGCAGTGCTTTAAGTGGCAGTTCCAATTGCGAAGCCACTTGTGCACTGCAAAAACTAATTTCGTCCTTGTAGTTGGCAATATACATGAGAAAGAATTGGGGCCTGTGGTGGCTCTGCAGGCTTTGAGGCCTGAAAAGAACGGTAGCCATTTTCTCTGCTTTGTCCTTAAATATCTGTACTGAGTGGGAAAAACTGCTTGTGGTGTTTTTATCAAATATGTAGTGCACAGCAGCTACAGCAAGTAAAAAACTTTTAAGGTCATCTTATACATTTTAAAGTGGAACTGCACAAATATTCACTCTAGTTCTTAAGTTTAGCATGATAAAGATCTTTGCCCCAGAAAATAAAGTGAACCTAAAGGGAGAACATTTTAATTATACAGAGGAGATCTACAGAGGCATGTTGTAGTAAAGATT